TTAATCTCTTTAATCTTCAGATTTCCTATCTATTCAATAAATGTTAATTAAATCATTCGACAAGTATCATGTAACATCTAATAAGCATATATTAGATATGCATACATATTAAATGTTCAGTATTTATATTCCTAGGTTAAGTAAAGTGCAGGAAATTAGAAAGCACAAAGACAAATGGGAGCATGAATTTCACACATACTCGCCCCCATCCAGCCTCCAACAAGATTATCCAGAATAAGTCACAGCTTTGGAAGTGCTCATTCAGATTCTCATCCTAATAATAAAAAACGATTGAGTCATATATAAGATTACATACAGTTCTCTAGCAAGGCAATCATTTTAAGAATTTAATATCTTGTGATAGGTAAGTTTTATTGTTGAGAAACTTCAAATCCCTAATCTCAATTCCCTTAAAAAATACTTTTAGAAATAGAATTATATCAATAGCGATTTATTGAGCACCTACTTTTTAAAGAATTCTGTGAAGAATGCTACTATCAATCATATTTTCAGAATTATTTGAAATTACATGAAAAATTCTTTTCTGAATTTATGTCTTTATATATATTATATATATATGTATTTATATAAGTATTTATATATTTTACAGACATAAAACCTTCACAAACAAAGTTTTCTGCTTTAACTGAAAGAAGAGAAATAAATGAAGAACTTATTTTTATTTTTATAGAGAGTTGTAAATATAGAATCATAAAATTTTAGGGCATAAATTTAAGATAAAAATAAGATAAAATCTTAAACTTTATTATGATCATTTATTTCATTTTATCAGAACTATATATATTATATGACTACTTAAAAAATGCAGAGATGGTTGATCTCTTCACTTAGTTTTACTAATGTAAACATGGTTAGGTATTTAACCAAGTATTTTTTAACTGACGTGATGTCAATTTACAGTTTTGTCTCTCAGTACATTTTGCTTAAGATGATAAGAAACATATTGTAGAATTTCTGAATTTGGGTTCTTTTTTCTGGTGGAAGTAGTCTCTAGATATGAATGGCCATATTCCTAAACAATGCAGTGGGCTCTCTGATTCAGGCTTTGCTTAGCGGAAAGGGGCATTTTCCATATCCTGCCTTGCATGCATCAACTCCTCAATTAGAATGTGATGCCTTTGAGGGAAAGAATCTGCTTTTCGACATTCAGCACACCATGTTTCCTAACTTCGTGTTTTCCATCTAGGTGCATTTTAAAGATATTTGTGGAAAGGAAAGGGGAAAATCATGGTAAGATAAAATTCTGAGATATTATTAAGTTGATCATATGTGGTATTTTTTTTCCCTTAAAATACACAAAACTGATTCATTAGCTTTGATTGACCTGATCAACTTAGTCAAATTATTTCTTTAAAAGAATGCAATTGATCTCACATGATTTAATGACTCCATCTGTAGTTCAGGAATGGTAGAAAAAGCATGCACTTTGGCATAGATTTTTAACTCAGCTGCCTCCTAGCTTTGGCCAGGTTACTCATCAAGCCTCGCCTCCTCCTTTGTGAAAGAGAATTGGTAATGCTTGGCTTTCTGGCTTATTGTAATGAAACAATAGATTTGAATATCAATTTTGTTTTCCTCTTATTTGGAGTGTGACCATGAGTAATTAATCTCTTTAATCTTCAGATTTCCTATCTATTCAATAAATGTTAATTAAATCATTCGACAAGTATCATGTAACATCTAATAAGCATATATTAGATATGCATACATATTAAATGTTCAGTATTTATATTCCTAGGTTAAGTAAAGTGCAGGAAATTAGAAAGCACAAAGACAAATGGGAGCGTATTTCCACCATAGGAGCAAAGAGAAAGGTTCTGGTAGAAAAGATATATGAACGAGACTTCAAATAAGAATAAATATTAACTACATGAAAAATATTTGGAGAGAGATTTCTAGATAAGGGGAGAGAATGGGAGCATGAAATGGTACGGCTTATAAAGGAACACTCTGACAGCAGGTTTCTATTTGAGTTTAGAATGTACACAAGAATGGAGTGAACAAATGAAGCTCAGAATAGGTCTGGGAAACAGGGAGCTCTGGTTTTTTGTTGTAGACATTTCAAAAATCATTGAACCAAGGAAGTGACATAGATAAACGGTATTGTAGAAAGAAATCACTGTAGAAATCATTAAAATGAGTAGATCTATTTAAGAGGTAAAAGAGAGACATTTACTAGAGAAAAGGACAAATGAAAAGGTTGTGACATTCATGTACATAGAAATGATGCTCTGAAGTATACAGTCCAGTGTACTAGTATAGTATTTCAAATCTAGTATAGATTTTGAAAAAAAAAATATTTAGACTAGAGAATAGATAAGGCTTGGAGACTACCTGATTGTGAAGTTGAATAAGAAAGATGACCAGGTGGATGACCAGGATGTCTAGCTATTAACTGAAGTTCTGAATCTAAGAGAAAAGCAGGTTTAGGGAAAGGGAATGAATAAAGTGGGCTTACCTGTTGGCTCAGACTATACACAAACTGCCGGCAATGCAGGAGACCTGGGTTCGATCCCCAGGCCAGGAAGATCTTCTGGAGAAGGGAATGGCTGCCCTCTCTAGTATTCTTCCCTGGAGAATTCCATGGACAGAAGAGCCTGGTATGCTACAGCCCATGGGGTTGTACAGAATTGGACATGACTGAATGACTATCACTTTCACTTTTATGCATAATACACTCAGTTTAGAATATGAAGAATTTGGGATCATAGTCAGATACATTCAGCAAGCAAACGGATGAGTGAGCTTAGAAAGATAAGAGCTGAAGACAGAGATTAGTGATGTCTACAAAATGTTGCCTGCCTTCCAAGATGAAGCTAAGGATTAAGTTGGATAATGTATGTAAAGTGCATAATGCTACAAAGCTCTATGAATAAAATAAATTGATGGCATATTTATGTACCAAACTCAATAAATGTAATTTCTATTCTATCTTGGACAGAATTATCAGGCCAGTTTCTTTATTTAAATAGAGCCTAAAGTTAAAGGTACAGTATAACTTAACAGCCTCCTCTGGATTTTAAAGAAAGCTTAATAAAGACTCTCAAACTTCCACTTATTTCTTCTCAAGTCACTAAACTATTAGGGAGTTGGCTTAATGGACTATCTTCCCCAAGACATAACCAAACAACTTACCTGTTTTCTTGCCGCTTTTGTTAAATGCCTCTTGGTTAAAAAAAAAAAAAAAAAAAAGGACCCTGCAAAGATCTTGCAAAATCCATTCTAATGTAAGACATCTTGCTTAGAAAATATAAAAATATCATTTTCAAATTCATCAATATGAAAGTAAAACAATATAACTGGGAACATAGTCATTCAACTTGCAATTCCAACTACAGGATCCAAGTCCTGACAACCTTATGGAAGGTGGAAAAGATGGAGAAAAATGAGAAGAGTGATGTTTCCCTCCACTCATTTCAATCTCCCCCAAAATTCCTCCCCAGGGTTATAGAAAGTGATCACCCCCAATACAGATCAGATCATTGGGTGTTCTTTTTAAATCACTTTTAAATTACTCTATATATCTAATCTTTAGAAATTTCACCCTGTGACCAATTAAAAAAAAAAAGCCTTCCATTTGATGCTAATTTCTAACCATGGATGTCTAAAAAATATGACTAAGAAAATGGTGTCTCCATAGTTGACCAACACATTAATTTTTAAAGCTCTTTTTGATATGTGCAAAATTAAAGTGAACTGGCTGTATACTACACATCTACTCTGCCATGATATTAGATAATTCCACTTATTCATTGCCATAGCCTAATTATAGAGAGCATTAGGCCATAGTCTGCCGGAGAGGTTGCGAGTCATTGATGGATCATGATTGCTCCCAGGGATATGAAGAAGCTTTCTTTCAAAGGTGAGGATGATTAAATTAGTTTTTAACAGCAAGTAGAATAATCTGAACTATACTTTCTTTCCTTATAGTCAAACTACCTCTGAAAACTAAGCTCTGTATGGTACTGTATTCTCTAGTCTAGTCTAGTATGTTCACATTTGCATTAGACACAACCCTTCCCTACGCTTGATAAAAATCCCCAGATAAATATTGCTGGTTTTCTAGGTATAAAATTTGATTTAATCCTAGCTTCAAACCATTAAGATCATATTTCTATGGTGAATAATCTTGGGCAAATTACCTATTAGAGCAATATTTCTTGAACCGTTGAATTTATAGACAATGTATTTTTGAAACATATCACAGTTTAATTTTCTTAGGGCTTATACAACGCCATAGAAAAGGCCCTGTTTATGATCCCTTTGTTCTCTCAGGAAAAGAGGAAAGCAAAGAAATTTTCGTTATAATGAAATGGGAAAATTGCTCTTTGAAAACAGTAAGTGGAATGTGAAAGGCCCTTCTCCACACTGAAGTGACAGAGGTGCTGAAACAGATTTCAGCAGGCTGCTCCCCTCTTATGCTGCAACTGAAACTATGAAGGGAAGAAGGAACGAGTTCCTTTTACAGTTGAAGGGATGAAGTTTATGCATTAAGAATTTATTGACTGTAAAATTTGGGAAGGTTTCAGATTTAACACTCAGGAAGTGGTATTATGTTTCTGTCTGGAGTGGTTAAAGAAAAAGACAGGTTCCTAAAGCCAGGAGAAAGCCCTGTTAACACTTCTCTAAGCTGCTCAAGCTACATGATCTCAAAATATTTTATTCACTAAGCATCCAGCCAGTTCCAAACAGTTCCAGTCATCAAGGGCACCAGCAAGTTAAAGACTCAGAGTTAGGATCAAACCAGTTGAAGACTCAGAAAACAGGATTTCAGGGTTCTTTTTTCTTTTGTGGTAGTTGTTTAGTCTCTATATCGTGTCTGAGTCTTGCAACCCCATGGGTTGTCGCTCACCAGGCTTTTCTGTCCATGGGATTTCCCAGGCAAGAATACTGGAGTGGGTAGCCGTTCCCACTTTTTCAGGGGACTATAAAACTCTCTCCTTTTACCTTCCTACAGTTTTGCATGAAGTCTATCATACCTGTCCCAGCCTGTAACCAGGATTGTCTTCTTAAGGACCAGGATGTGTGAAATATCCACAGCTCCCTCTTGTCCAACATTGAGTATGTGGTGACAACAGCCATTGAGGTCCCAGACCTTTAAAAGAGAAGTGAAAATCAGCTTTGAGACAAGAAAATGTCTTCTCAGCGAGCGCAGCAGCAGGATGTAATAGGATTATTTTACACTTTTTTGTTTACATTCTGCACTAGGGTTGATTCACTTGAGACACATAATAATTAAAGCCTTCTCACCACTTAAATTTAGCTCATATGTTTATTACTCTATTTGTAACCTTATCAGTCTACTCTGATAATAGTTGATTCAAAGGCAATACATCAGTGTATATTTTTAAGGGGGAGGCAGTATAAAAACATGAAAAGCCTCATTTTGGAGTCTGTCAAAATCCTGTTTCTTTCTCCAAGTATCTTTCTAAATTTTGATTTCCTCATTTATGACACAGGACCTTTACTTCAGGGATGCTTGGAATTGTAAACATATAATACAGAGCTGGAACACAATCATCATGTCCTAGGTTTCCTATCTTTAGCCAATAAAATCTCCTATTGACAGTGGGTACCAGACCCACACCCACAGAAGCCAAGTAATTCTAGTTTACCTCCTCAGGCAGTGGGATGAGGATGTAGACCAATCAGTTCACTTTAAGAGATAAAGTAATTAGCTGTTAAAACTAAGTCCTGCTACGAAACATTATTGGTACATCATCAAAGGCAGTTGGCACTTTATCAAGATGAAAATGCATATACCCTTTGCCTGAAAAGTTCAACTTTTAGAAAATCATTACTCAGAGATACTCACATGTGAAATGATGTATTTTAAAGGATATTCTGGAAGCATTGTTCATAACAGCTAAAAATTTGAATCAACTTAATTGCTCATTAACAAGGAATTGAACATCCAAATATGAAGTGAGCAATTAACAAGGAATTGAACATCCAAATATGGCGTATCTCCACGGTAGAATATAATGCAACTATTACAAAGAATGGGTCATCTCCAATTGTCTAAGCTTTGTCCAAAGCCAATCAGCCATAGAACCTTCAGCAAGTTGTTTATTTCCTTAGGTTTCAGTTTTCTCAACTGGTATAATAATAGTACCAAGCATATAGAGGTGTGTGTGTGTGTGTGTGTGTGTGTGTGTGTGTTAAGTGTTTAGGACAGTGCATGATTCATAGTAATATGCAATAAAATTTAACTAATATTATTGTTATTGTTTGCCTTCATTATTATAAATCAAATACAGAAAATGTAAAATGCAGAACAGTATGGACAGTGAACTACCACTGAAAAACAAATGGTGCTCACAGTCTAGAAAGATGTGCAAGAAATTAGTACTACTGGTAGTCACAAGTGAGGAGAAGGGAACAGGGGTGAGAAAGAAACTTTCTTTCACAGTATATATCTTTTAGGTTTAAAATTTTATTGTGTGCATACATTATTCAAAACAATTAATTTAAAAACAGAAACCTGAAAACCATGATAAATAGGGCAATGCTTTTAAATCTTTGATTGCATAAGTGCTGGATTTGGGGTTCTAAATTATAAATGAGATTGGAAAAAATATCATTCATTCTTGTTTCTTTTTAGAATATGGCCTGTGCATCTCAACCTTGATTTATGCATTCTACACAGAAGTTGCCAGATTTCAGAATTCTATTGTGCTATTGTGATAAAGATAAATGTACCTTCAAAAGCTGTGATTGTAATACTAAATTCACATTAACTTCTAAGATGTCAGGACTCAAGCTGAGACATTGAGGGGTGTACATGCTCTTCACCCACATCACCTTGTTTCCCTCTAAACAGGGCTCTTATAAAGCCCACCTAAAATAATACCCACAGAAAAGTAGTATAAAGATTTGACTGTCCCCAGATCCTATCAAGCCCCTTAACTGGGACCAGTTTTGCAACCATCTACAAGTCTGCCCTACCCTGGACTCTATGACCAGTTACTTCCCAACATAGGGAAAAAAAATATCTAATCCATTGCCTTCTTTTTTCAGTCCAGCCTTGTATCCAAGGACTGGTATGTGGGATACTCACTTTTTTTTTTTTTTTTGCCTAAGTCACTGTCTAATACTCTAGTTCCAGTTACTTCTATTTTATTCCACGTGACTGTTGGGATTAGAATTATCCCATTATCTTCATGCATTTTACCATTTCTCCCATGAAGATGTTACTTGACTTAAACCCATGCTCCTAGTCTATACCTCAAGCTATTATCCTTCCCAGAGGTCACGTTCTGCTTATTTCCAGAGATACTCACTGAAGCGTGCTTCACAGTGACTGATGCAGGCTGGAATTCTCCTAAATACTTGCCCCAAATTCCACCATGTTCTACCTACAATGGCCACCCACTCCAGTATTCTTGCCTGGAGAATTCCATGGACAGAGAAGCCTGGCAGGCTACAGTCCATAGAGTCTCAAAGAGACAGACACGACTGAGCAACTATCGTTCACTGACTCATTACCTACCTACATATCTAGGTAACTTTCCACTACTGTCCCCAGTAGTCTACCTGAATGCCTCATACACCCTAACACAGGAGGTACCTCTAATTAATAGCCTTCTGATCCCACTTATGACAGAAACTTCAATTCAAAGCTTATTCTGGAAACTGCCTTTTGCTGTCTCAAAGCGTCACAAGTCATCTCCAATCCGATACTGTCATCACTTTCAGTGCTGAGGCGAGCAGAGAAGATTCACTGGTAGGCATGATTTTAGATTGTAAGAATCTAGCTTTACCTGAAATTTTGATGGTTTCTGCAAAATAACAGAGCACTTTCATCCCAGAAGAAATTAATAATAATTTGATAACTGAGAGGATAAAATAATGTTAGTTTAGGATGGATAATAAATAAGATTATGATTGTTCTTCCTACTATCCTTCTTTACTATCTTATTGATACTTACCTTCCACATAAAAATACAATTTACAAAATAGGTTGATTTTAAGATACTCATTTTCTGAAAAACTTGCATTCATGTCATTTTAAAAGTTTATGTACTTTCCCTGATTTCTCATTTTATAAACTGAGAAAAATGAAACCAAAGACATTAGCTAAAGCACATGAAAAGTATTCAGGCCTCTTATTCCCCAAAGTGGTTCCTCTATCCAGAACACTGGAAATGGCTTTCTGAAATGAGTAAAACAAGTTGTGCCTTGATTCTAAATAATTTATTCAGAAAAATCATTTATTCATTTTTCCACAGAGGTTTATTTTCCTAACAGCTTTGTTATTAGATGGTTTGAGTTATTTAGCTCTTTCTTGTCTCATCTCTCTTTTCCAAGACCAAAAATACCAACACAGATATAGCCAAAGCTGTGTCTCCTCGCACAATGTTTTAGCCCCCTCCTATCTGGATAAAGAAGCGTCACTGTATTCGCACCTTTATGGTCCCATCTGTGCTGCCAGTCAAAAGCCGCGTCTCATTTGCATCTAGGGCCATCGTGCTGATTTCTGCATTACCATGGCAACTGGTAAGTTGTTTGATTTTCTGCCCAGTGCCTATCATCCAGAAAGAAACAGTCGACCCCACATCAGAGCTGATTACCTACAAGAAAATAACATTGTGGAGAAATTAAATATAGTCCCAGAATCCATCGTTTTTATTTCAATCAAAATATCCAGCCTGTGCATTTCCACTAGTGAGTTCCACCAATAGTCAAGAGACATTTTTGTAATGCATTTGCTTTCTTTTGTTAAGCTGATAACATTTCAATTTCTAGGCCAGAACTGAGGTAATGAAGTCATGCTTCTCTTTATCAGAAAAGATAGGAATCTTCTTCCCTTACTCACTGTTCAGCTTAGTATCTAGAGACCATCCTGAAATCAAATCCTACTGAAAATAAACTTATAAATCTCACATTTAGATGAGAAAGTTGATTTTATCAGTCATGATGCTCTGACACTATTCACTCTATGAAAATAAACCTTTTATTACATATCAGCTTTCATTTAGCATTCAGAAGAGAAAGCATCACCAGCCATTATGGGGAAAAGTTCACATCAGCTGATTGCTAGAACTACTGCTTCTAACTCCATTAGTTCCTTTCCTCAAGGTACTGCATATATTTTCACAACATAAGTATTGATGGGTCACTAAAAACAAAGAATCCAGGAAGGTTGAATATAAACCTGCATATACACTCCAAGAAGAAGGCAACAAAACAAATGCAAGGATAGGATTACATGTAATAGTCCCACACTAAGAAACAACAGTGGCAAGTAGACTGCTTATTTAAGCTCTAGGTATTTAGATGCCCTTTAAGAGATTTATAGGTTAAAATTACCGTGCTTATGTGACATAGGGATGCAAAGGAATGAAAGAAGAAACAAACGACCACTAAACATAGAAATATATAGGTAGAAAATTGCCTGAAGCAATATCTAGATTTTTTAAAAATTTAAAGCATAACTTTATCCACTTATGTATTGGTTGACAATGTATAAATATAAATTTATCAGGAATTTGTTAAACCAGAGTGTCACAGTTTCATAATTAAATGGGTTAAAGTTTATCAAATGCATGTTCAGAAGACCTAGATAACTGGCTGCTATGCATGTATTCATCCATTCACTCATTCATTCATTCATTCACCCTAATGCATTCATTGAACATCCACTGGGCACCAGGTCCATGTGGACAGGGGAGCTTCACTGATGAATCTCTGCTTTCAAGGAGCCTGTAGCCTAGGCTTATACACTAGAATCACTTTAAAAATCACAATTTCAGACCAGACCAGAGTTGGAATTGGACCAACTGGACTAATTGGGCCAGCCGTGGAATTTATAAAGGTTACTTAAGTATGCAGCCTGGGTCAAGTGCTACTGGGCTAGAGAGAGAAACAGACAAGAAATAAATAAATGCCCAAAAATCTTACAAGTACAGAGGTATCAGCACTCCGTGATCTGGGGACACAGAGAGTAAAACCCCAAATCCATTCACTGGAGTGGGGGATGGGAATAAAATGTAAAGAGGCTGTATCAGGGATTGAAGGTAGGAACAATGAGTGCCAAGCCCTTTACATTCACTATCTCACTGAACCTTTATACAAACCCTGCAAACTTACGTTATCACTCTTTCTACCATGATAAAACTGGGATCAGCTAAGTACCATTCCCAAGCTTATAACAAGATTTGAATCATAGACCTTCTGTGACAGACACATCAAAAGCCTTCCTCTATTTCATCATTGTACCTCTAGATAATTAAAGTGCTTAGAAGAGAGAACTTGGAGTCTCTTTCAAGCATGAGAAACAGTAAGAAGTGTCACGAAGCTGGAGTGCAGACAATGAGATAAATGATAGAGTATCAGGTGAGGATGCAAACTAGCAACAGATATTTGAAATCTTTAGTGAGCAATGTCAGAGAATAATAGCGTGCATAAAGATTTTGTTGTCGTTGTTAACTGGGAAAGGGTTCATGTCTTTCATTGGTTATCTGCGGCATGTATGGCTCAAAATAAAATTAAGAATGATTTCTTTGTTCTAATGAGGAGGAGAGAAGAAGTGCATTTTTTATTAGTTTGTGAAGATACCTCTGGCAACAGTGTAGAAAACACACAGGTTGTGAGAAAACCATTCAGAGGCTGCTGTTACAGTCCAGGTAGAGATGCTCACCTAAGGCAGTAGTTCCAAGAAGCAAAAAGAGAAGAGGGATTGAATGAAAGGGCCACCGTTCAACAATCTTCATGCCTCAACAAAGAACTGATTATTTGCATGGGAGCTCTTGCAGTCTTTTTTTCCCCTGATATTGCAGCTCTCAATCAAAATTTCTTAAATGATGTAAAACTATATCTATGCTACACATTTTCTCTCAGTGAACCAAAAGTAGCTTCAGTGTTTAATTACTGTTATTAAACTATAGCATAATTTCTTTATATATATATATTCATTCCTCCCTTTGGTATGAATTAAAGCCTCCTTTCCCCCTCCTTTCTTAATTCCACATAAATTAATTCTACAGTTTAATAAACTAACAGGTGATTCCACTTCAGGCTGAGCAGATGTTAGACTGAATGAATGGAGACAACTCTTTTTTTTCTGAATATACTTGAATTTTATTTATCTCCACACAAACACATATTTATACCTATATCAATATCTCTAACATCCATACCTACCCAATTTATACAAACTTTTTTTTTACCTTTTTATTTTGTATCGGTATTTAGCCAATCAGCAATGATGTGACAATTTCAGGTGAATAGTGAAGGGACACAATCATACATAAACATGTATCCATTCTCCCCCAAACTACCTTCCCATCCAGGCTGCCACATAGCCTAGAGTGCAACTTCTAGAGCAAATGACCTGGATCTTCATAATAATATGATGTAACACTTTAGTTATCATTCCATGTAACTGTGTTTCTATCCGCTTTGGTTTCTGCAATACGCATGGTGGTTAAGTACTGGGCCTGGAGCCAGTATGTTTGAGTGTCTAAACTTGGATTCATTACTTAATCTCTATAAGCTTCAGTTGCCTCACCTATAAACCAGAGAGAATCATAGTTATCCCTCAAACCGTTTTTAAGAGGTTTAAGTAAGCAAATACTTGTAAAGCACTTAGCACAGTCTATAGCATACAATAAATACTTCGTAAAAGTTAGCTAGTATTACTATTCTATTTAAGCTTAATAACCTGACCTCTTATTTGAATTCATGTCACTTTTCATATCCAAACCAATTTAATAAAAATATTTAATGACTTGGTTTCTTCCAGCCATGAGAGTGAATGTAGACAGTTACATTTTAGAAACCAGCTTTTTAGATGAACCGTGACATTTAAAATTATATCCCATGAGATTTTGCACATAATTGCTTAAGACTTTGGATTGTATTCATTAAAGACAGAGTCATGAAAACATAATATTCTGAACAAGTGAAAAAAATTTTAATTAATTGCCTTTATTCTTTTTTTAAATTTATTTATTTTTAGTTGATGGATAATTGCTTTATAGAATTTTGTTGTTTTCTGTTAAACATCAACATGAATCAGCCTTAGCTATACATATGTTCCCTCAAGGGAAATTTTTGATAGTGCTCTTTGAAGAAAGGCTACGGAATTTTTTGTTGTTGTTTACTTGCTAGGTCATATCTGACTCTTTTGAGACCCCATGGACTGCAGCCCACCAGGCTTCACTCTCCACAGGATTTCTCAGGCAAGAATACTGGAGTGGGTTGTCATTTCCTACTTCAGGGGATCTTCCCAACCCAGGGATCGAACCTGCGTCTCCTGTTTGATAGGCAGATACTATACCACTGAGCCACCTGGGAACCCTCTATTCAAAAATATTCATTGGTTTATTATATGCTAAGCATTTCAGTACTAAAAAGTGGATATTCTTTGATAGAAACAAAACAAAAGAAAAATAAAGTAAACTATATTCAAAGAAAGATGTGCTTACTTGTTCAAGACTGGCCTCATTCACATTGCAAAGCGTCTCATGAACCACCCATCGCTTTTATCTAATGCAGACATTTAATCAGGAGTTAGGAACCTTCGCTTTATGCTGCTTTATGCTCCCCTTCCTCTGCCTTAACCAGCTGAGTCCCAACATACCATTCATCACTTTTCAGCACCTTTCTTTACTCATTTCACAATTTCTAACAAAATCTGAATCAATAATGACAACAGTGTACAGCCAGTCAGATTTCATTCTATGGCAATCTGCCTTAAGGCACAGTCTTCAGGGAAACCATGTGTTGAAATATAAGGACTGACTATGTCACAAACACACACCCAGTATTAACCAGAATCTGCTCTCACTATGACAATATCAGAAAACAAGAATAACAAGACAAGTAAAAAGACATTCAAAGTCTAGTGAGAGAGAAGCCTGTTTCACATCACTTGGCAGATGAAGAGGTTTGACTATCGGACGGTGAAGATGGTATTTATAGCAAAATGTTTTTATCAGTGATAAAGCCCAGAAATAAGTATTGGCATCAAATTTATATGCCACATTTGGATGATACCAAGTCCCTTTAAGTTTTCAGTTTACTCCTGACTGCTTCTCATCAAATGAGACCTTAACTGTTGAGAACTGAGCTTGGGCATCTGCAGAGCAGAAAATAGCGTGGTCCTAATAACTACACTTCAGTGCAAATGGACCTCGTGAGCAAACCATTCCGCTGGAGGAATGCTCCACCTTATGTACCTGAGTTAATAGCTGTTTAGGAATATAGAGATCTTTTTGTCTCTCTCATCTGAAGCTGTCACAGTCAATCAGACAGTTGTAAGAGATGGGAGGCCTGTCCATGCCCCCTGAATCTTTTCTTGCTATTTCAACAACAATAAGCACTTCTCTCTCCTTTGTATGCATCTCAAGTTCTAGGTCTAGGCAAGAAGAATAAAAAATTACAGAATTGCAGCAGCGGATATTGCTTGCCTACCAAGGGATCAGGACATTTGATTGAATTGCTGTTCATAATTTTATTTTTTTTAATCAGTGCTGTTTATGGTCCCATAATATAAAGCAGGTTACCTCTTTTATTTCTATTTTACATCAAATCTCTAGAAGTTACAACTCAGTAAGTAGTGAGGTGA